TTTTCCCGTTCCGCCATATGAGAAGCTTCGTAGGGTTTCCTGAGTGTTTTTGTAACCGTAATGAATTCTCTGCGGCGTGCCATCGTTAGTGCTGATAGGTACGCGTATAGTTGGATGTTGGCGTAAGGATCAGGTAGCTTGGTGAGTTTCCTTGCTGCATTTAGAAGTTCTTCTTTGGTTTTGTAGTAGTGGAATCTTGCCACTGCGTCTCTCGGGGTGTCTTGCAAAAGTCTCTGGGGTTTTGGCAGCCTATGAGCCCTGTCCATGAGCCATTCCTCTTCGTTTATGTCCAGTAGTAGGGTTTTGAATAGGTATTCATATAAGGCATCCGTTGTTACCGTTTCTGGGATCCCTCTGAAGCGCACGTTATTTCTCCTGGACCGGTCCTCCATGTCCGCCAGTTTACGTTTAAGCTGCTGGTGCTCGTCAGCTAAATGTTGTACGGTGTCTGCCATCTCATTATGTTCTGTACATAATTCCTCCGTACTGACCTCTAGGCGGTTTGCATTCGCCAAGGTCCGCTATATCCCTTTGTATTTCATTGGTTACTCGTTTGAAGTCTGCTTGCAGAGTGACCCTACACTCTTGTAGCATAGAGTAGAGTTTTTTCTCTTCACCGGAGCGTCAGTATACCGGCTTGTATCTTGCTCTGAGCCGGCATGGGTCTCTGAGGTCTGTGAGGGATTGAGGCCTTCGTCGCCATCTTGGTTAGCATGCGTGCGATCTCCGCCGCCTCTTTTGGGCAGACTGAGCTGATCTGTGAGTTTTAGTTTGCTTTGCAGGGGCCATCGTGAGGATTGCCTGCTGTGTGGAGGTTATTTGCTGATGATTTGGGCAGAGATTGCATCGAATTACCAGGCTATAGGGTCAGTTAGGCCGGGAGCTGTCACTCCATGCATCCTCTCTCCTCGGCAGTTGGCCACGCCCCTCCATATTGCAAGATCTTAATGAGGTGGTACCTGGTCCCGGCCCGGCTAGCTCATATGTATAACAATGTTTCCCCTATATGCTGGAGGTGTGGCCTACACATGGGATCTTTTAGACACATTTTTGGGGACTGCCCCACATTGACAACATATTGGCAGCAAATAAAAGAAACCTTTACCCGAATCATGCTAACACCAGTTCCGTTCAAACCTGAATGTTATCTCCTACATCTCTCCCCAACCCTCTTCTCTACACAACAAAAGGTTGTTGCCATACACATGCTAGCTGCAGCAAAAAATAGTATAGCAGGCCACTGGAAAGGGATTAATATGCTACCGTTTGGTGTGGAACAGAGTAGAATCCACATACGAGTATGAGTGTGTGGCACATAGGCTCCAGGGCAGGGAGGAGATGCACGCACGGAAATGGGCTAGTTGGACAGACAACCGGCTGTCATTTAAACCCCCATAGAGCAAAGCACACAGAAATAAGCAAGGTACAGCCTCTCCACGACATATATGACCTCTCGCCACTTGGTCACGTTACAGTCTCCCAGGTGACACTCAACTAAACATACCCAACCAAGGTCTTAGATCTGACTTGTTAATCAACCACCTCCCCCCCTTTTCCTTACCCCCTCCCCTTACCTGTAAATCTGTTACCCTAGTACTTAAGTAAAGCTTGCACACTACCTACACACCGGAGGGGAGGATGCATAAGCAACTCACGGATATGCTAATGTTACGCACTCCACAACTCTTCGTGCTGAATGTGTGCGCTGCGAAGCAAAATCAAATGTTATTTCCCCCTCCCTATGTTCTTTTCTGTACCCTGAACTGTTTTCTATGTTCATATGACAATTTCAAAAATCAGAAATTGAAAAAAAATAAAAATCCCTTGTGTCTAGCAATAGTTGGTGTTGTTTCCAATCACCTTCTGAGTATTGCTCATATATTGACTCATCTGCCCTTGGATCTTGGAGGCTATGATGCCTGACTGGAGTTTCCATGTTTTGGGAGGCAGGTGTAATGAATCACCTGGCACCCCGACTGGGTACCTCCGTTGAAGGATGCTCCTAGCGCTTACAGAGGGCTCCAAGCGCTCTGCAGACACCACAACCACCGCAGACCCCACTACCCACTGCAGCTTGGTTGGGGTCTCGCAGTCTCCTACCCACCCTGGACCTACGACAAGGCTCCAAGTTCCAGTGGGTGAACCTCTCCTCCAAGAGAGTGAAGCAGGAACAAGCTCTTTAAAGAGCTTGGTAGTGATTAGCTAAGGGAGTATGCAGAGCATAGCAATCCCTTGTAGTGATATAGCAATTCCCCCAATAAGAGACAGGACTCTAGATTGAGGGTGAAGAACTATCTGTACTGGCACATACAGCCTCTTTTATTCACATTCTACAAACATAGTACTGCCCACAGGGTTTTGAAGAACAACCAATCAACACAGCTAACACTCCCATTCATTACATCAGAAATCCTCCCCTCTGCCTGTGATACAATTATCTCAACACAATAGACAAACTTAATTATCACAGGCAGGAAAATACAGTATTATAAAACATATCACAGGGACCCCAAAACATGCAATAACCCCATATCCTCGGAACCGGGGGATCTGGGTGAACCACATATCCAAAATTGCCCCAGATCCGTTCAGTAGTTTGGAAGATACGGTTTAATGCAGATTCCGCAGAACATATACAGGCTATATGAAAAATAATTAATGCTAAATGTGTCCCCTGTTCTATAGTTTAAAACTACTGAACGATGTTGTAGCAGAACGCCAATTATAAATCCACGAATTCCGCTGGTTCAGAAACGAATCCACAGTCAAGCGCTGAAAACCATAAGGCAATATCCCCAACCTCCCAGTAACCGGACGAGACACAGTTCTGAGAGTCAACTGACAACCTTTTAATCGGCAGGACAATTTATACAAGTCCCCATGCAAGGGGTTTCCTGAGTCCCTCCCCAGGGGCACTCCCAGAGGGGACTACATGGGGGACTTACATTACAGCATATTTCTCCCATCAGGCACCGCTGCACGAGAGGGATCATCTTCCCAGAATGCACCGTTAAGTGGATTATCCCCTCGTGCAGCAGAACCGACAATTCACACAAAAATCCATAACTTGGTGAATATACAGTGGATTTACACGAATGGACGTTCGGTAGATAGCTGGGGTCTGAGCGCATCATTCGTGAGATTACCGCTCAGATCCCAGCTAAAATAACCGAACGCCGCACGAAAAACACAATTCGTATAAAACATATAAAAAGAACCGATTGCTTGTAGGGAACAAAATACCGAATGTCCCGAAACTCCCGAACGCCCTGGAGGCTCAGCGGGGTTTGTGCCGTCGAGTAGCCGTTTTTAGTACCAGGCGCTCGACGACATAACCCCGCTGAGGGAACAAAGGATCCAAGATGGCCGACCGCCGCATGGTCGGTAGTCGAACGACGGCCACCCAGGAGAGCCTCTAATTACCGATTGCAACATTGTTGCAATCGGTTAACTAGCGCCACATGCCTCTAAGTGTGTGGGCTATTATGGGTCTTGCGTTCGGTTCACGAACGGCCCTCCAAAGTGCCGTTCGTGAAACGAAAGGGAATCCCCATACAAACCGCCATTTGCATTCGGCGGAACAGATAATTACAGGTAATGCAGGGAATACATGAAGCATACACATACAGGTTAAAACGCATATCTCTCCAGACCTATAGGCAACCCTTAAAGGCATAGTGTCCAGTTATAGTCCAAGTGGCTAGGTTTGCCACAGATGTCTTTGTGCACCAAACACCGGCGAGATGGCACCGTGTAGAAAAGTCAAAACAGTGTCTGAGAGTTAAAATGGCTGCCATCCATTGTTCTCATCATGTGCCTCTGACACCATGAAATGGTGGCCACCTAGTAACTCCACAGTTTGTCTGGTAGTCTATCCAGCCGAACCAACAGATGAAACACATGGGGAACAGTGCAACAAACAAAGGGAATCCTAAAAAATATGGACAATAGTCATATTTGTGCACATCTCCAGTTTTGTCACGGGGCACAAATAGTGTTTTCAAATGCCATATATCCCAGGGCCATAGTCAGAAGGTAGGAGGCGGGCAAGCAGCCCCCTCCAAGAACACGTGGCGGGGTCTGTTCCGCCACAGCAGGTTATTGGATGGTGGTGTTCCCTTGTCAGGGTCCTTCATGACCAGTATCATTCTGCCTTGTGTTAGCTAGTCAGGGTGGGAGCCTGTTGCTAGTAGCTGGTTCATTTGTGCTGGTAGGCGTTCATGCAGCGTTGTTAATTTCTTTATCCAGTAGGTGTTGATCATGTCAGGTCCTGGGGCTGACCAACTCTTCATGCTGTTGGATATCTTCGACTGTGATGGTGACTGGTTACTGGTCTGGCAGCATGCAGTGGTCTGCTTTCAGGTCTAGTAGCAACTGGGCCTTGGTGTTATGAAATGCTTCTTTCTCCCAGATATTCTTCCAGTACTGTTCAGTCTCAGCTCTGGGTGTTTCTTGTAGTGGTTACCTTAAAGATGTGTATACACCTGGTCTTTGAAGTTAACAAGCCATGGGGTTGGCGGTGTTCGGGGGTGGTGGGGTGCTTAAAAAGGGGTAACTTGTCTTCATTTAGGAAACAAATGAAAGGAGGGTACCGAAAGGGGGCTACGGACAACCGAACGGAGAGGGGAACAAGTCTGCTACATTAGTAATCTGTCATAACATATGATTTATACATGTCTTTTACACACATTCAGCGAATGTTTTAATAATGTGATCCATTCATTAGGTTCTATCTGAATATTTTCAAATTAACAATATAGGTACTTTTTGTATATAATTAAATACAGAGACATCAATATATATTTTCACTCCTTGTACCCCCTTCCAAACACTTTGTTTTATATGTAAGAGATGTGTTCTCTCTAATCAATGTGTTTACATAGACGCATTCCAATCTGTTTGGTCAGGCAGAGAATAGAGTAAGAAAGAAAAAAATATATATTGTTACAAAATGGAGTCACATCTGCTAAGTAGTGATTTACAGTATACATTTAATTTTAATTTCACAATACCTCTGACGGGGTGATGGAGGGGAAGAAGGGAAGGATGGATGATGGTGGAAAGGGAGAATGAAGGGCACAAGAGCAGGGAATACGGGGAGCGGTAAGTGGAGAGTAAGGTGGTTCTCTATTCATTTTTACAGGAAGGCCACCCAGACGCCTCTATATCTGTGAGACAAGTAAGCTTGCTTCTGCTTAAATTAATTATCACCCAGGCACTTGAGGTACAATTCAAAACACCCCAAATGTATACAAGTATAATAAGAACCCCCACAAGTATTATATCCCTGGATAGCCCGGATTTGAGCGAATGTGCAATGTGCAAATATCGCTTGAATCCATGTAGTATTGCCAGCGAGGAAAGGAGATAGTGGCCGGTCCACAGTGTGGAATTCCAGTATCTACATAAACTAAGTCTCCCTCTGGCTTATATGTTGTGAATGTTCTCCTTGTTTGGGAGAGTCTTTTCTCTGAAAAGTGCTCTCTTGACTTGTCTGGGAACCGAGCAGGCAACGTTATGATTTTCCCGGTGTTCGTTAGGCATAGTGTCATTTTACATTTTGACAAGTGAATAAAAGTGTGTATACGCAATTTTTATATTATAATGGAATTAGAGCGCACAAATATTTTTTTAAAGATATTATTTAATCACCATAATGTTTCATAGTCATATTTCTGATGTTTCATGAAAATAAAGTCAGTTTTTCTTAGTATGGTAAGCAATAAATCATTTATAGAAATATTTTCTATAACTCCCATTACATTTTGTTTCAGATATTTCCAGCAGTAGACGTTTTTCTAAAGGACAGGACACCAACAGAAATATACTAAGCAAGATTATGAAGAAATCTTTTAATAAAAAGACCAAGGATTCCAACTCTCCAAACTCAAGCAATCTTCCAGAATCCTGTATGTCTACAAAGGAGATAGTAAACATAAACCCAAAACCTTTCTCGTGTTCTGAATGTGGAAAATGTTTTCGCTGGCAGTCACAAATTGTAATACATCAGAGAAGTCACACAGGAGAGAAACCGTTCTCATGTTTTGAATGTGGAAAATGTTTTAGCCTGTCCTCAAGTCTAAGAACACATGAGAGAATACACACAGGAGAGAAACCTTTCTCATGTTCTGAATGTGGGAAATGTTTTAGCCTTAAGTCTTCTCTAGTTGCACACCAGAGAAATCATACAGGAGAGAAACCTTTCTCATGTTCTGAATGTGGAAAATGTGTAAACAGCCATGCACACCTTCTTGTACACCAGAGATCCCACACAGGAGAGAAACCTTTCTCATGTTTTGAATGTGGAAAATGTTTTAGCCTGTCCTCAAGTCTAAAAATACATGAGATAATTCACACAGGAGAGAAACCTTTCTCATGTGCTGAATGTGGAAGATGTTTTAATAGGCATTCAACTCTAGTTACACATTGGAGAACTCACTCAGGAGAGAAACCTTTCTCATGTTCTGAATGTGGGAAATGTTTTACTCTTAAGGCATCTCTAGTTGCACACCAGAGAACTCACACAGGAGAGAAACCTTTCTCATGTTCTGAATGTGGAAAATGTTTTAGCCAGTACTCAAGTCTTACTACACATCAGAGTGCTCACTCAGGAGAAAAACCTTTCTCATGTTCTGCATGTGGGAAATGGTTTAGCCATAACTCGGCTCTAGTTGCACACCAGAGAAAACACACACTAGAGAAACCTTTCTCATGTGCTGAATGTGGGAAATGTTTTAACAGCCATGCACACCTTGTTACACACCAGAGATCTCACACAGGAGAGAAACCTTTCACATGTTCTGCATGTGGGAAATGTTTTAGCCAGCACTCAGATCTTGTTAAACATCAGATAACTCACACAGGAGAGAAACCTTTCTCATGTGCTGAATGTGGGAAATGTTTTAACAGGCA